AAGCCATATATAAATATAGAAACACCTATAAAAATGACAAAAGCACATAACTAAATTATCTTAAACTAAATGTTAATAAACTGAAAACTGAAAATAAAAAAATCAAAGCTATTAACAAATTCTATATAAAAAAAATTAATGCCACTGCCATTTCTTTCAGAACAGTGCCCTCTTTTGGTGAAAATACAATTTGTAAATCATTTAGATCACTAAAATCATATCTTTGGTTGGCTTTCTAATTTGATCCAAAGCATATGCATATGCTCTTCTGATCTACACCTCTGAATCTGTATGAGAAGAACAAATATTTCCACATGATTTATTGGGGTCAAAGCATTCCAGTTATGACTAAGACAGTTGAATAGAGATCTGTTTGATGAAGTCTAATAGTCTGGCTCGTCCTTTGCTCTCCAACACATAAGGGAATCTCGAAACGTAAGGTTCTCTCTCAGCTGAAAGTGATTCTTTGTGTACGAGAGCCGTTTACTGTTAAACTGATTCCTACGCTGGAAAAGGTCAGCAACCAAAAAAAAAATCCTTCTTTCAACAAGACAGCAAAGCGCTTGCTTTGTTTGAGTCTGTTTTATGACTCTTTTTATGGTCATTTATCGCACATGCTTATTGGGGTCTTCTTTCAAACATATGTTGACCTGAATGGATTTTGTGCATACGGATGGGTGGTCCATGCCGGATACGACCCCAGTTTGACCCCTAAAATGCCCATTTCTAAGCAATATGAACTGGACAGAGGTGTCAGGGGGCAAATGGTCAATGCACATTATGCATAACTGTCCATCGCATATACAGTAGACTCCTCTATAACACCTCTATGCTTCTTAGACTGCATATTCTGAATTATTCAAAACATGCAAACCATTTCAAAACATTACAATAGAAATTGTTACTTACTTCCTTAGAAACAAGCTACTTAAATTAGCTAGCTAAACTAACAACTATTCTACAGAAATATTAGTTAAGCTTGGCTATTTTGAGAAAGTACAGTCCAAGCTACATGGAAAAAGTGGCTTGCTACAGTTAAGCTAATCCATCAATTCATATATATATATATAAACTAGAACTTACTTTAATTCAGCTAGTTCCCGAGGTAACATTTTAACTTGATGTACTAAAATAACTCAAAATAAAAATAAATGCTAATAGAAATGAAAAAAGTGAACTGAAATAAAATATAAAATACAACATTCTCATTTTCGTTTAGTTTAACTTGATTTACTAAAATAACTAAAACTGAAATAATAATAATAATAATAATAATAATAATAATAATAACAAAACAATAACAATAATAATAATAACAGTAAAAGCTACACAGACATTAAAAACTGCATAAAAATTACACAAAAAAAACTTTTGAAAAAAATCAAATAAAAACTGAAAATAAAAAAGTAATTCATACTATTAATAAAATCTATAAATGTATCTCAGTGATATTAAAATACACTGTTGTCAATTGCTTTGAGCCTGTAAACAACAGTTATTTTAGTATAACACAGATACTATAGTATTAATGCATAATATTTTGAATTAGCTTTTGTTTTTATGTTTTCATTTCAATTTTAGCTTACATTTTTAATAATTTTGTTGTGCTTTTGTCATTTTTATTAGTTTTTAATATTTTTTATTTATTTTAGGTTCACTTTTAGTAATTTTTGTATTTCAGCTTCAGTCAGTGTTCAAAGCAACATTTCACATTTGTATTTATGTTTTTCATTAATATTAATATTTTATTTTATTTTAGCTTCAAATATTAATGAACAAATTGTTTTTAATAGTTTTAGTTAACAATAACAAAATTGATAAACAAAACGTTTTAGACTGAATTAACCAACGCATTTTGCTAAACAACAAATATATTCGTCAAAGATGTGTAGTTATTTTCTTCTTTCAGTGAGTCATTTTCTCTTAATATGAGTCATTTCAAGTTATTTTCACTGCATGGGACAAACAAACACTGAGGACTTAAGAGGGCATGATGCGTTCCCATTTCATTTTACAAGGCTTTTAAGGCTACCAAGGGAAGAGAGATTGATGCCCTTTTTACTTACACTTCAGGTGCACTCCATCAGCGTTAGCCACAAAAGAGCAGTCCTTCAACAAAAACAGATTGAAAAAAAAAAGCCATAGCAACGTCTCTTTCTTGCTTACGCTGTCTTGATGTACCACTAGAGGGCGCCCTAAGCTAAACCATTGATGAGCACCTCACTCGTCACTATCTTTAGATGAATTTTGATGAGACCAGTGAAATATGCTGATACTTACAGTAAACATTCACAGTATGGGGCGACAGGCATCTTTCCCAGAACCAATGAATGCATAACCATAACAGAGTCCAAAGCTTCAGTCTGCAACATCAAGTGCAAGTCAAAGAGCTAACATCAAACCTTAGAGTCCATATAATCAGAAATGTTAGATAAGTACCCACAGTACTATAAAATAAATAAATAAAAAAGAAAACAAACATTTTTCTTGCTACACTCTAAGAAAACCTTCTCAAAAGGTACATCTTTGTCCCTAAAGGCACTGTACATATTGGTACCTTTTTTTGAGTGTGTGGAAATGTTGGTAGATTTGTTTTATTTTCTGTAGTTTTTCAATATAATATTTTAAAAAAAAAATCTAAAACAATATTTTTTATCACCTCTTTTCCCCTGCTATTCATGCCATGGATTTTGTTTTCTTCTTATTGTTGTTTCTTCATGGGATTCATGTTGAATTTCTTTGTAAATGACAAAGAAAAAGTAGTAATTTTCATTATTCCTTTCAGTAGAAAATAAAGCTCCTTCATTATCAGCATTTGGTGTAAATCTGTTTGGTCTGCACAGCTTGCTAATAGAGTTGCATTCGCCGTGCTGTCTTAACAGCCTGTTATCATGGCTGTTTAGAGATAATGATTGTTTTTAGATTCAGCAGACCCTTGCATCATGTTGATTATTTATCCCCAAGGTCTCTCTTGATCCTTTCAAAACAGTTGAGGTTAACGTTAGACATTTAATAAAAAATGTAGAGAACCATGACGCTGTGGCTTGGCAAACCCGACTAGAGAGAATTACTCTGGTAAATTTAAACCAGACTTATAACTTCTCTTCTCATTTTCCAGTCCAGTCCACATGCATACAGTCCGGTTAGCGGTTATGTCATGCTTTTACGCATCGTTCTGTGTCTTTGATCACATAGAAGCAACTAAAAGAAAGGAAGGAAGGAAGTAAATGTACCTCAGAAGATAAAAATATCTTAGAGTATGCTCTTTTGCAAAGGGATGGCACACTGAAAGAGATAGCTGCCAACCTAGAGACATGTATCCACACACAAAGTCTTTAAGCTCTGCATGTTCAGTACTTTGAATTCATTTTGCATATAAGATCTCGGTAGAATAAAGCGCAAAGAACTCTAAAAATAAGATCATTTTGGCTATTATCCAAGACATTCGTCTCCTCTAATTGTTCAAATGTAAAGAGGACAGAATGAGTTTAAAACCACATCAGTGGTTTGGCAGTTTGAATGCTGGAGAAATGGGAAAACTGTAGGTGGTCTGGTTTTGTGACAAAATTCTGTCGCTGTGGCAGTGAAGAGATAACCGGGAAACTGCATTGATGTGACTTCTGCTCAGAAGAGGTGATGATAAACTAGTGAAGGTGTGGGGTTACTCATAGGCCAGCTAAAGACATATGGCAACTGGACCCAGTGCCAACATAGATAAGAGGTGATAATCAGAGGTGATAACAACATCCACATCAATTCAACGTGAGGAAAGCAGATAGCATATTAACAAAACACCCTGTTGTTGTTTTTTCTTCAAATTGTTAAAACAATTTATTGCAAATTATTTATTTTATTATAATTGCGGTCTTTTCATTATCAGGTCAGTAGCTGGCCACTGGAGCAGTGCAACATAACCATGACCTACTTGACACCACTGACATTTAAACAGCAGGGGGCTCTGTATTGTTAATCTCCATGCAAAAACCCTAACCAGACAGACAAATAGATAGACAGACAGACAGACGATAGATACTCTAAGAAGAATAGACAGACAGACAGATAGATAGATAGATAGATAGACAGAGATAGATAGATAGATAGATAGATAGATAGATAGATAGATAGATGACATGACAAAGAGGCCTAATATGCATCACTTGATCATAAAAATAAAATTAAAATAAAACTTTCTGGTTTGTGAAACTGTATAGTGGCACAGTACTAACCAGAATAGCCTACCCTTAACCGTGGTTTTATTATTAAAAGTGTAGTAAGCATGTTTTTTTATTAATTATATTTATTTTAAATAATTAATTAATTAATTATTTTTATATTAATTACCATTTGTACAACCACAGTTCTACAACAAATACCATGCTTAAACTATGGTTAGTGTATGGTTACAGTAAGCCTTTTATTTACTTATTTATTTTGTAGTAAAACCATGGTGATTTTTCGTAAGGGTACAGTTTGCTTTAAAGCAAGACACAACTCGTCCGATTGCATCCCGGAAATGACCTGTGTTGACAGAGACAGTAAACCTTAGAGGTCCCATATTTTACACCTTTCTGGAGTTTTATTTTAGGTTTTGATGTCCTTAAGAATATATATTTGCGGTATAAGTACCAAAAACCATCTCAATATATTTGTACAGCTCCTTTCTCAGGAGCTCTGCTGAGAACAGGTTGATTTTGGCATGTCTAATTAATATTCATGAGCCTCTGCAGGCTGTGTGAATTTTACTGTGGACTGACTGTTTTGAAACTTATATGGTAGTTACATAGTACCTAGACCTCAGTTATCATGAAAAAAGCCAGGAAATTTCAGTTTTGACAATATGGGACCTTTAAATTTCCTCTAACAAACTGTAATTCCTTTAAAATAGTCGAATCCCTGAAAGGCAATGTAGGCTATAATCCGTACACTGATCACTAGGCTTGCCGTACGGACAGCTCTGCCTGCCCGTCAATCACTCCATCGCTCGCAGCCAGCTTCCCGCCAGTATGAAGTTCTAGGAGCGCTCGTGCTGACCGCCGTTACCGGAGAACTGTCAATCATTCGTTCGTTCCAACCGCCTGCCGGTATGACGTCACGGGAGTTGCCGTTCTGACCGCGCTACCTGCCAATCACTCCTTCACTGCGAGCGTGAGGAAGATCTCTGCGCTCATCTGCGCGTGAATCCACTACTGTCCACAATGCTGGATACCGACGCTGCATCAGGTGAGGATAAAAACACTCCGCGTGCTTGAACGTTTTAGTAATCCGGAGGGAAATAAACTAGAAGTATGGATAAACGCGACAAGAAAGCGAAAACGGATTCAGGGAAGTCTACGAAACGCACAAGGAAGCTGTTCCGGAGGAAATCATTCAAATCAGTGGAAAGTTTGGTGAGTAAGATCTTGAAAAGTTTGGGGAGCTTGGCTAACGGCGGAGAAACAACCGAGCGCTCGGATGCTGAGGAGGATGATGGTGGGTTTGGAGAAAGCGCAACTTGCGCGGGAAACTCGGGACATGTGAGAAAAGAGGACAGCAGTCAGGTGAGGAAAAGTTCCTCGCTTCCCTGCCCTTCCTCCGCGAAAGAGCGACTGTTCTCGCTGTACGGGGATAAAACGCCAGGCGTGCTGGGTCTGAAGAACCACGGGAATACCTGCTTCATGAACGCCGTCCTGCAGTGCTTGAGCAACACGGACCTGCTCGCTGAGTATCTGTGTCTGGAGCGATATAAACTGGATCTGTGTCACAGGGCAATGAACGGGTTTATAAAGAATGAGAACGGTCAGCAGGAGAAAGGAGATGTTACGGAACGGCTCGCGACTTTGGTCCGAGCGCTTTGGACTTTTCAGTACACTCCTCAACTCTCGGCTGAGTTTAAGGTAGACTCAAGTAAACTGTAATTGTATTATTTTGTCACTGACGCTTTTATCCACTTATTACAGGCACAGGATCATCTAGGCATCCTGTGAAAGTTCCTCAAATATCCCATAGTATTTAAGGAATGTAGCTATACATTTCAAGCTGCTCAAATGCTCTTCACGTTATTATGGGGTTAATGGAGGAAACTAGTGTCTATAAAGGTTCCATTTAAAAATAGATTTTACAGCCTGATGCATTAACTTTTTAAGGCCTTCAAAGAGCATGCAAAATCCTTCATAATTATTATGCATGCATATTTGTGACAAAATAATGTATTTATTGAGAAAATGTACTTTTAAAAAGTAATGCCATGCCAGATAGCCTATTAAAATGAACTCTGATTAAAATGGTAAAAAAAAAAATTGGAAATGGTGACCGGACAGCACCTAAAATGTACATATCCCCTTATATATTGATTTATTTGAACTTAAAACTTTAATGTTGACAAAGAAACTCATGGACATGTGTGGTGTCAACTATACATATAACTTAAAATCAGCTCATGGAGCTTTCTCTGGCCAGTTTGTTCAGTATGTGAGCAAATGCGTTCCCACGGGATGGTCTCTTCTCAGTAAAAAATAGATCAGGATGAGAAACTTTCCACAGATAACATTATCAGCAGAGTGTAAACTTAAAAACTAGAGTGCACTCTCAGATAAGAAATCACCACACTGGATACCGACCACAAAGACGAGTGCGATCTGGAACGCAAGTCTTAAAAAACACTTTCTCAGAAATCTACTACTAGCGTAATACATTTACTAGAAGAATGATGACAAAAGAGCTTGCCGCTACATTCTTTAAGACCGAGGGGGCAGATGGCAAAAAGCTGAAGGTTTGCTAGTATGAATGTTTCACAATGACCGTTACATACGGATTATTAGTTCAGGCTTTGTCGTCTACATAAAAGATATAGTCAATATTGCCAACAAATTAATTCAGCAACACTTGTATGGATCATACAGACATGTATGGATCCATTAAGAGCCTTTGGAATCCTTCCATTCCACAAAGGATTCTTTATAGTCGAAAAAGGTTCTTTAGATTATTAAAACATTCTTCACACTAAGAAAAAAGTTCTGTTATGATATAATCTGCTTCTTTAAGCTCCTCACAGGGTTAAGCCATTTATCTTGAGGTAGGAGTAGCTAAAGAAACTAGCAGGTGGGAGAAATCCAGAAAAAAATTCAGTGGAAAAGTGTCATCGAGAGGAGTTGGGAGTGTAGCCATAAGGTAGGCCTGATGCTCTGATGGGAAACAGAGGCCCAGTTCTATTCACACCCTACTATCAAAAGTCTGAAATGATTGCCTGGAAGGCCCCCAATCTGGGCTGACTGTTAGACGAATAGAGAATTACAAGAATACTCAAGGCAAAATATAAGGCTGTGCCTACTCAAAAACACATTTAAGGATGAATCTGAATCAAAGATCATCTACTGTATACTGTATTTTGGGTGTCTACACAAGACAACATTAACAGCCTCATCTGATTCTGAGTCTAATGACTTGCATGTCATAATTTTACATTAGGCCATCTGAGGCATGATTTGCTATTTCCTGTTGACAGAGCCCAGAGTATCTTGTCTAGAGACGACATAAATAAACTCTCTCTGCTTCTCAGACGTCTGCGAGAGTTAATAAGTGCCTAACCGCAGATACAGGGAGCCACCTATAAACAATCTGCTCTACCCTATAATTTATGCCTCCCACTGCACTTAACTTTATTTACTTAATATCTGCTTTAGTAAAGTGCAATCTATTTCTAATTAGACTAAAATGGACATGAATTACACAGTGAAAGCGTCACAAGTGGTGACTGGTTCAATTATGCCATTTCAAATGCAACCGAAGACCAAAATCTTGTGTAACTGAACTCAAATCAACGAGTTGTTAAAGGGGAAAGGAGCTTGTTGGTAGAGCTGGTATGCGGTTGATGGATGTCAGGCTGGTATTTCACAGATCACAAGGTCGTGTTGTGTATAGTTCCTGACTGATGTCTAGCTAGTCAAACTCAAAGGGGAATGTAGCAGAGTTAATGGCTGATCTGAGTATATATTAAGTCATCAAGTCTACTGTGTCAGTATTGGAAATGAATGAAAAATGTTGTACTCCACAGTGTACTTCTAAAAGTTGATAAAACTAGAAGATATATGCATTTAAAAATATACATTCTTTCTTTTACAGGAAACCAAAAATTGATGGCTTATCTTGCCAGGAAGGGCATATAGAAATCGGTAATAAAATACTGTTTGAGATAAGAACGTCTAAATTATATGTACAACCTGCAAAAAAAAAAGGGGGAAAAAAAAGAAATTTATCATGGAAAACCTGGAAGTATTTTTTTAAATAATATAAAATAAAAAGTAATATAATATAATATAATATAATATAATATAATAGTAACATTTTTATTTGTTTTCCTAGTTAAGCTCATAATTAGAAATTACTCATTACTCAATGACTTTTAAAAATCCTTATCTAGTCATTACTAACAACTCCCATGGAAATACATGTTTTAATATGAAATAGACAGAAAATTGTATTTCCAAATAATTTCATGAGGTCTAACTCAATTAATTATTTTATCCTTATATTTGGGTTCACTGACGAGATGCTGAGCAAAAAAAGGCCTTTGAAGATCAAAGCTTTGATATTTTAACGGTCCAACTTCTTTAATACTATTTTTTCATTTTTAATTATTTAATGGATGATAGTTCCAGGTGCTTTTCCTTATAACTCCTGTCCTGATATATATAAAAACACTGGGATATTTCTCTATATATGCAATACAAAACATTTTTGTTAGAATATGGCTGGGTGATGTCTATAAACTAGTGTTTATTACTCAAAACGCAAAAAAGACCAATAAAATTCATGGTTAGTCTCTCCTTAAAGGACCTGCTTCCATACTAATACTAGTTCATCCGTTTCTGCACAAAACTAACGTTCAAGTCAAACCTCTTCAGGCTGAGCACTCATAGATGAAAAGGAAGCCTTTCTTTATATAATAATGACAGGAATCATCTCTTTAATACCACAGATAATTGGAGGCCTACATTTCTCAAAGCTTTCACATGCGCCAAAGACATTTCACAGGACCAGAATTCCAATATTCTCCAGTGACTGTTGACTATATGTTATAAATTAAACATTGGCAACCCTCTACGCACACCTTGGCAATATAATCGACATTGGCTAGTAATTTTTTTTGTTTACTCGCCAGACTGATATACTATTTTACACACACACACACACACACACACACATTTACTTGGCTATCTAAATGGGGACATTACATAGACTTCTATTGTTTTTATATACAGATAGTTATACACTTTTTAACCTAAACTCACCCCTACCCCTCACAGAAAACTTTCTGCATTTTTACAATTTCAAAAGTAAAAAAAAACTTTGTTTACTTTATTTTTATAACAGTTTTACAAATGAGGACATCCACAAATTGAGGTTTTTGCC